AGCTGCTTAGCCTGTCCCAGACCCAGAGCCATCTGGCTGGGGCAGTATCAGGTACCATTGGCTGTGCTGAGGGAAAAGGCACAGGGGGCGAGTGCACCCCACTCACTGTACTCTGTTGGTGCTCTTGGCCCAGCACTCTGCTCCCTATGGCAGTGGTGCAAGCAATGGCCATGTGTTTGGGCCCTGTGCAGGTGCACTGGCCTGGGACAGGCTCCCCCTCCCAGGGAATCTCAGCAACGGAACCAAGGAGCGAACCTGTAAGCCTCCCCTAGCGTGACTGCCAAAATGGTATACACTATACATGGCATGCATATGGCTGGGCTATGGGCAACCCGCACAGGGCACTGGTGGTGGTGAAAAATGCCCTTGTAGCTATGGCGCTGTGTTCGTTGGATTTGAGTGGTGAGTGACACACAACAGACATAATCCTCCCATTTTAAAATAAAATTGCAAAATTTGTAGATTTAAGCCTGATTTAGTAATTTCATAATTACATTTAAAAATCAGGATGACTTTGGAAAATTAGGGAAGGTTGGCATCTCCGTAAACACCATTTTAGATAAAACATGAAAATGAAAAATTTTGTTCATTAAAATTTTCCAAGTACCTGTAACTCTCTCATTCACTAACCGGTTGCTGAGGCAGGAAAGCAGGCTAGGTTGCGGAGAGTACAGGGGTACGGTATGGAGGTGAGATCAAACTCTGGGATGGCGAGTGGTTATGTAGGGGGAAACAGGGAGGCATTAGCAGGCATGTATAGGGGGCCTTTGGGAAGAGTAAAAGGCTTGCGTGCAGGGGGCTTTGGACAGGAGGACCACAGCTGTGCATGGAGGGTAGAGCTCAGAGGCATTGGCACTTGAAGGACTCCCTGTACTACTGCCTCCAATTCCCAGCATACTGAGGCATTACTGGTGTGGAACAGTTTAAGAGCCAGTGCTTCAGCAGATACACTTTGCTCCCTCAGAACCACTGCCTGAGCTCTTCAACACACAGAAAGCAGCACCAAGGGAACCAAGTATCTCCGCATCTCCGCAATGGAGCAAAGTTACTCCATGGCTGATGCCTCGGTGCACCGGGGGCACACAGCAGTGGTGGAAAATATCCATCAAGTGCTGATGCCTCAGCCTGGGCTTCAGGAAACCCACACAGCATCAGTCAACTCCTCAGTAAAAACTCAGCTACTCATCTGGCTTCCTATATCCTCAATAGGCTTGCTCCCTTCCCTGCAACATGGAACATCTTCATAGAGAGTCAAGAGGCTTGCAAGTGGCTGTGAAAAGGAGTGTGTGTGTTGAACAGAGAAGTGTGTGGAAATTTGGTGGACGCAGGGTTGTGGAGAAGCACGGGACTTTAAGGGGCTATTGGTGGTGCTCAGGAGGAGGTGAGTGGAGACTGGAGGCTTGTGTGAAGACTATAACAGAAAAGCAGGGTGTGCCCTGTAAGGGATCAGGAATGGAAAAAGCAGAAGGGAGAACTCTACTCTGATGAGCCACAGGTACAGCTCCTCTCTCCTCTGCTTTCATACATTCATCGATTATAAAGCCAGAAGGGACCACTTGTTTAACTAGCCTTACCCCCTGTATAAAAAGGGCCACAGGACTTCCCTGAATTAATGCCTTTTGAACTAGAGTATACCTTTTAGGAAAAACATCCAATCTTGATTTAAAGATTGCCAGTGATGAAGAATCCACCACAACCCTAAGTAAGTTGTTCCAATGACTAATTACCTTTCCAGTCTGAATTTGTCCAGCTTCAGCCTCCAGCCATTGGATTGTGTTAGATCTTTGTCTGCTAGACTGAAGAGCTTATTATCAAATTTCTGTTCCCCACGTAGGTATTTCTAGACTGTGATCAAGACATCCCTTAGCTTTCTCTTTATTAAGATCAACAGACTGAGCTCCTTGAGTCTCCCACTATAAATAGGCTTGGAGGGATTAAACTTTTATCAGTAAGTGTCAGTAAATTGATTTCACTGTATACACACAAACCAATGGAAAAAGTATTTCCATCAATAATTGAAATTTACGGATAGGAAAAGGAAGATGCTGCTTGGGAACACAGAGTTTGATTTAAGAACATTCACTTTGTGTATTGTGGCATGTGATGTTGACAATTTATGTTGTAATGGTTATAAAGCTTTAACTTTTTGAATTGAATTTCAATGTCTTCTGTCGTTAAAGAATTATTGTCTGACCCCCATCCATGATTTCTTACAACTGTGCACTACTTAGACAAACAGATATTATCCATCAAAATTTTAAAAAATAAAAATCAAATTCAGCCAAGCCTAACTATAAGGCGTGTTTTCCAATCCTTTAATCATTCTTGTGATCCTCATCTGAACCCTCACCAATTTACCAACATCCTCCTTCACCCACCAGCCCCACTTTTTCCCCCTATTCTCCCCACACACAACTCCTTCCTACCCCCTTGTTCACCCTCTGACATTTCGCCAGGATCCCCTATGCCCACGTCCCTTCACAGAGCCCTGATTCTCAACATGCTCCCTTCACCTGCTTCCTTGCTCCTCACCCTGTCCCCTATTTCCTTAACAGATTCAACTTATAAAGACTGATTCTTGATGTATACAGGAAGCCCCTCTGGGCTTGCAGGCTGCATTCCCTCTGCAAAATGGTTAGTCTGCTAAGACTTAACCCACAGATGGTCAGAGAATGAGGAGAACGATGAGACCATGTTAGAACCAATAAAAAGTTTTGAAATAAACCTGGATGATAGATGATACATTTTTTTTGCTGTAAGTAAAGAAGGGCAGAGTTAAACTCCAAATACAGGAGCACATGCTATACAGGACTCATTCATTCTTGTTGTACAGCTGGTAGTATGAATAAAAGTGCTAAATAAAACCCCAAAACCCTCATTACACAGAAGGATGAGGGCTCTAAAACAAAACATGGACTTTGTAAGAGCAATGGCTTACACATCTTTAATGCATTTTTTTTTTAAAAACCCTCTATATAGAGATTAACTTTTTTTACACATTAATCATTGTTTTATATATCAGGAATTGCAAGCATTTTGAAACTAACTGTTGTCTTGTTTCAGTGTAATTTATTTAACTAACGCAGCATCTTACTATTTAAATGAAAGATGATAAAATACAATTTATTATGTTCTACTGAAAAGCTGTTTTGGTTCTTATAATTCACTAAGTAATATTTGTCTATGACAAATCTCTAAGTTG